CCAAAAGGAGTTCTGGACTGTTATCAAGATTCTTAGTTGCTCATCTTTTTGGACAGAAGCACCTAGCTCTTGTGTACTTTTCAAATCTCCATTAGAGCTCAGTGGTTCTCCCACTTGCTTATCAAATCTCTTAGACTAGAAAATTGCCGGGTTTTGTTCACAACTAAAACACTCAGGGGTCACTCCAGTGAACTGGGCTGCACGAAATAACCACACAAGAGGCAGAAATACCTTTTTCTTTGGGGTTGCTGTGACAGCTCCTCTGACCTTAAGGGTCCGAAGAAAGAGAGAGAGAGAGAGTATGCGCGCACGGAGCTCACACTTGCTGACTCCTTTTATTGAGGAGAAGCCATTCAAATGAGTCAAGGGGTCAGGTTTCAGGGGGCTGAGTCTAGCTTCATGATGTCCACTGTCAGCAGGTTGACTGACACCTAGGTAGGCCACACCCAAGGGCACAGTAAGATAAGGGGACACACAGAGGGTATTTCCATGGAACATTCTATCCCAAACAGGGCAAGGGGTAATATTACAAAGGAACAGGTGAGCATAGCTCCTCCCATGGGGCTGTAGGAAGACACACCCATGCACAAAGACACCATCACTTGAACCCAAGAAGGGCAGGGCTGTCTAGCATATGGCTGCTGCCTAACACCTCAATCACCCAGCCGGGGAGTGACTAGGTCACGTGTGAGGTTGGTCTCCCATAGAAAATTACTTTCTTAGTCTAAGAGGATGTTTCTGATTTCTCATTTTGGGAAAGTCAGTTTGATATGCTTTGACTTGTTCTTACTACAGTTCCTTGGAAGAAACTAACGTTACACATGGGCCCCAAAATACATGTATTTTTCGTCCTTTATACAATTTATTTAATTGAAAATTAGCAGTAGATTTTAGAGGTCTCTGAAATTCTAGAGCCTTCTTGCTCACCTTTGATTAGGAACTTTACATTTGACCAGTTATGTCTCGTGAGGGGAGGGCCGGATCTGGTCACGTGTGCTGGTTGTGAAGCTGCTGTCTCAGCTCCAAACACACTCTTGTACTCTGCTTTGCCAGGAGACTGCAGACCACTTCTCTCCTTTGCTGGCTGCAACAGGAATAAAAAAGACTGGAACCTGGAGGAGAGGAGAAGGAATCTGCTCCTTCCTGTTTGCTCCCTATTCCTAAGGATGGCACCACAGATAGCAGTGACAGTTCATTCCTGAAAGAACAGTGGCTTCCAATGTGCAGCATTATTGTGTCACTCAAGAGATCATAGCACCTGCTGGGGCACCCCTCCTCAGGTTTGCATCTCAGCCATGTAGGTGCTTGCAGAGCTTCTGAGGCACCTGCTGAGTGGTGTCCACTCCTGAGAGGTTTGACCGCAGCGCCTTGAGGTGCCTTCATGAAGCTTCTAAATTGGAATAATCTTTGACTCTTGTCTTTTTTTCCAGTGCCCACATTTTGTCTTCTCACCTCTTCACTGTCTGTTAACATTCAAATTCGATTATCTCTGTTAAAATAATTGGTTTGGTCTTGGTGTCCTGATACAATCAGATTTTTAGCTCCCAAAAATGGTGCCTAAGATCCAGGTTCCCTTCCAAGCCATCTCAGGCTTAGATGGATTTTCCACTAGCATTCATCAACACAGGGTGTGGCCCTTTCCTGTAAATCATGTGGCCCCACCTCTTTGGGGATTAACTAGAAGATTATGGGAAACTTATGTTCTACCTACTCTCTGGTTATGAAGTCCTATCCTTGCTCCCTGTTATCCCCCTACTGCTTTTACTCAGGCTCCTTTTGCTTCCTTTGTCAGTACCTTCTTAGATTCCCTTTTCTCTCCAATTGGCCTGCATCCTTTTATCACCATTTTAGTCTTACTAGCACCTTCTCCTCATGTCCACTTCTTTCGGTCATACCTCACAATACAACTCAAGCAGAGATCATTCCAAAGTTCATCTCCTCCTGTATCCTGGCTTGTAAGCACCACTAGAGGGACCCACAACCAAGCGTCCAGTGTCAGCTGGCCTCTCTCTGATGGCTCTTCCAATGTTTCATGACTCTGATCTATCCTGACCCAACCGTGCTACCTCTTTTACATCCCACTTCGATGTGGCTTCCCCTCCTTTTTCTCACTCCAGGTTGAATATGGAGGCAATCTTAAGTGCTAGTTCTACCTCAAACTTACTACCATCTTTTCTTGCCTGACTTGGAGGAAAAGTTGTTCCTCCTTCTGTCATAGACTAAATATCATACTGTTCTGCTTTCTTATCACTTCCTAATATATATATCTACTTTTTATTTGCTCCCTCCTTTTGCCCCCAGTGTAATATAAATCTCCCAAGGGCAAAGAACACACATCTGTTTTGTTTGCTGCAGGTGTGGAGGAAAGAGCCCTCATGGTTGAATCCAAGCTTTTTGGCCTGAGCACTGGAAAGTTGGTGTGTCAGTCAGCATTTTGTCAGTGTGACCAAAACACCCAACAAGAACAACTTAGAGGAGGGAAAGTTTATTTTGGCTCACAGTTTCAGAGGTTTAGTCCATGGTCAGCCAACTCCCAAAGTGAGGTGGCACATCATTGGAAGGGCATGGCAGAGGGAAGCTTCTCACCTCATGGTGGCCAGGAAGCAGAGAGAGGGTAGAGGGAAGGAGTGTAAAGGGAAGATGAACCTTCCAGGGCACTCCTCTACCACCCACCACTTGCCTACAATTACCATCCAGTTAGTCCATTTAAGGCAGGGTAGACTAATTAGATTATAGCTATTGCAATCCCATCATTTCACTTCTGAACATTTGTGCATCAACACAGGAGTTATTTGGGGGGATACCTCATATCCAAACCACATCAGTTGGAGTTGCCCATCACTGAGCTGAGGAAGAGTTTGGCAGAGAAGGTCAGGAGTTCAGTGGGGACATGTTGGCTTAATAGACATCCATGTGGAGATGCTGAGTAGGCAGAAAGATGTGCAAGACAGAGAGGGGAGATCCAGTGGAGGTATCATCAGCTTATAGATGGCATAGAAAATTTTTGAGACTAGATGGGAGTGAGCTACAAAAGAGTAATTGTCAATAATGAAGAGTCCAAGGACAGAGCCCTGGGACACTCCAAGGTCAGAGAAGTGAAGAAAAACTCAAGGAGGTTGAAAAGGAGACCCCGACTGTGCTAGGAGGAGAACCTGGTGTCCTGGAATCCACGTTTCAATGAAGCAAGGGACATTAACTTCAACTAATACTGCTGGTAGGTCACAGAAAATGACAACAAAGAATTACTGTTGAATTTGGCATTTTAGGAATTGACCTTAACATGAGTGAGTTTGGTGGAGTGGAGGGAATAAAAGCATGGTTGGAGAGAAAATGAGTGAATGAAGAAATAAGGAATCTACTAGTTTATGGGGATACAATCTTAGGAAGAGAAAAATGGGTTTCTGCTAGAAACCAAACTCGGTGTGGTCCTCAACCTCTGGATCCCATTAGTTGCCCTCCGCATTGTTTATTCTGGTGCATCACAGTTCAGGCCCTTCAGCTCTTGCCTGAGTAAGTGGTGACTTTGCTGCAAGTGTGGCTTTGCGAAAGGCAGAGAGGTCATCCTTCTTCAGGCTCTCTACCCATCCCCACCCTCCCTGGTCTGTGAAAGCCCCTGTCTGCACACTGGAGATGTGTTATCCTTGAGAACCATTCTGCCTTCTGATAACCATGGCCTTTCCCTTTACATGATAACGGGGTCTGTTTCTCTCATCCAGGAGCAGGAAGCTTGAGGACCAGGACTGTACAGAATGCACACAGCAGGGGCTCTGACGGAGGCACCAGCCTGCTTGCCAGCCCTCCACAGTGGCTCCTATACTCCTCTTAGAATTTTACACAAGAGCTTTCTTGAGCTGATATTCCAAGCCAAAGTCAGGAGCTGGCTATTTTTTACCCTTTCTAGTTATTAGTGTTCTCTAATAATCCAAATAGTAACTGTCTGAAATTACCTTGTTGGCACTATGTAAGGTGACAAAAGAGAAAGGGGGAGAGAGGGAGTGACAGGGAGAAAGGAGAGAGGGCCAGGCCTGTGGAAAGGTAGGAAGGAGTGGAAAATGGCAGCAGTCTTGTCTTTCTGTGTGCTGGCTGCTTCCGTGTGCTCAGCAGAGCTGAAGGAGTCCAGACTTACTTGCTGAGCTGTGACACATTTACATGCAAAAGACAGCCATAATTCCCTTCTGGGTGTGGACTCTTGCAAGACACTGTTTACTTCCTGAGGAAGGAAGTGTCAGACTCTTCCTTGGGCAGCTAGAAGGCCTTGGGAAGAGGAAAATACTCTTCCACTCACTTCCAGACAGATCGAGAGTCTCAATAGATCGTTTTCTTTTAGGCAGGGGTCAGCTGCACTAGTGACCAGTAGTCTAGCTTTCCATCCAGGGTGTTCCTGGAGTCCATACTCCCTGTTTTCCTGTGAGTGAAGAGATGCCTGTGGGTTTAGGGCCAGGGATGCCGTTGCAGCCAAGTCTCTACTGAAGTCAGCCTGTAACCATAAATTCTCCATAGGTGGGGCTTTTTGTCCCTGGGGGCTGGATGGGCTCATTGCATCCTGCACCAAACTGGGGGCAACATGGAGACAGACTAAAAATGATCCCCCAAAGCCTCCCCATCCAAGTTTGTTCTGCCGTGGACTACCCTCGGGGGTGGGGGGGACAGTACACATGGCAGTGTTTACTACACACAGGTAGCTCTTTGTGGTGAACAGTAATACCAGTATTGAAATAGTGCCCTCACAGAGTGATCACTAATCTCAAATCCTATTTGGAGTAGAAGAAACACATGATTTACTACATTACCTTGTATAATTTATAGAAGGAAACGGGTAAGAGGGAATTCACCTCTTCTAAACCAATAAGCTGGTCATTCAGTAAGCCAACAAGAATACCTCACATAGACTGAGGTTTAAAAGGGAGCCCACTGGGGCCACAGGCACCTGCATTCCACACTTCTAGATCATGATTAAGCATGTCTCACTTAGAAACAAAATCTCCAAGAGGCAACTGTGGTCTTTTCATTTTGAAAATGCTTTAATAAGTGTTGACAACACTGGTTTGCAAAATGTAAAGGTACTATACAAATTCTTAATACAAAAAGAATAAATTAAAAGCAGATTTCTCTTTAATTCTGCAACTTTGTCTACAACATACATCTTTTTCATTGATTACAGTTGAACAGAATCCAGTAAAATCATTTTACATGCTCTACAGTCAGTTTCAGGAGCAACCTAATCTCTTCCCCCCATTATTAAACTAGAGTCCATTTTACACAACTTGTAATAAACTATTGACATTAATGTATATGTAAAACTTTACACCTAGTTAACTAAGCAGTAATTGGTCGTCTGATAGCACCTGGATGAGGTCTGCTATATTTAGAACTAAACTAATACTGAATGAAAACAAATTGGAATTTTAACAGTTTCAACACTCACCTGCATATAACAAAATTAAAACAAAACAAAAAACAACCTGGCTCACAACGTAGTCTGGTTTATGTGTCTTCACCAGTCTTCTGGCTGAAACAGGCAATTTCTTACATGTATCCAAAAAATCCAATAGGGGCTTTTATCAGACCAGGGACTTTGTATTTCATCATATTTTATTTTAAAGAAATAGGGATATATAAAGAGTATCCAAGTGCTTGCATATAATCACTACAGCGTTTCCCACCACACTGACGATTATCCTGTCAGTCTCAAAGGACTAACGGTTATGAACATTTTGTATCAACTGAACACAGCTAAACAGTAAAACCTGTTTTACTTAATCTGTCTTTACTACCAGACTCTCAGGATGTTTGCTAGAACTGTAATTCTATTCCCATTCCTTTCCTCTCTGCCCCCCAAATCTAAATGTAACCCAAGTTTTTGGAAGAATTTCTGCCTCTTATTCCTTATAACTGAACTGGCCTAGAAAGCTTGATCCAATTTACTTCAGACTTGATTTCAAACCACGTCCATGTTATATCACCTGTAACCTTGCTACTCGTCCCCTTTTCCATTTCTCTTTTGACTTGTCCTGTTGCACAGAATTCAGTCTGATTATTCATCTATCTTGTGGGAAAAATAAAAAAATGACCCAATGTTTGCTTTCAAATAGGGAAGGTGGGGGGACTTAAAAGAAACATGCTGTCTGTAGCTCTAATCGTCAAAACAAAAACAATTAAAATACCTCCTCCTACCCAGTCAAGCCCCAGATTCATTAACATCCTAACTAGTTTCTATTTATCCTGCAATTTTACCCCTAAGTGTTCTGAAAACAGCAATCCCTTCTGCAAACTGGTATCACCAACCTAGTCATGCACAGTGGGCTCTGGGGCCCTGATCGTGCACAGAGAAGTGGAAGAGGCTGTGGCCTGCTTGGTCCCCACCTAACGCTCCACTTGACTTCCACTTCTTCCCAGTGGCAGAGGGAGCAGTTCATTTTGGTGTCCATTCTTACCCTCCTGGTCTGGTAGAGTCTATTGTTATTCTTGGATTACACATACATGAAAAACGAAGATTTTTTTTTCTTTTGACACTACAGCTAACTTTAGTTCTGCTTTCCCAAAAAACCACCCCCACCCTGGCTCCTGTCCCTGGCTGTCAAATGCCTTTCCAATAGGAAGTCATTACAAAGAAGAACACACCACCCCCACCCCACCCCCACTTGGCGCCAACAAGCACAGCATACCACCTCTGTGACCTTTTTGTGCCATCTTGAGTAACCCAACTAAGATTGTGCACTTGTTATTATAAAAGTATTTTTGAGGCCTTTGAAGATTGATGGCTTTCTGGTTGTGTATTAAGCATAGCTCAAAACACATGTAAACGGGCAGCTCCCATCTGTTATTTTTCTTCCTCTTTTGGCATCTGCAGGCAAAGGTAGTGCTTCACGGTAACTGATTCTGCAGTAGGTTACAAGGTCCTTTGGGAGCTGATTTTTTTTCAACCCTGCTCTGCCTGCTGGCTAGTAGACATGTGGAAAATCTTCCTACCTAAGGGCATAGTTGGGTTCTTTGAATAAGTGACACACAGGAGAAGTCGCATCTGAGCTGTTTGTCACACAAGTGCTAACATAAAATGAGCCACAACAGTTAAACATTGAATGGACTGCAATGTGCTTTTCCCTTGGTTTCCCATAAAAAAAAGAAAAGAAAAAATGAAACACCTTGTGCAAAAAAATAGGTTACACTTTTACTGGTCGTTTTAATGAGAGAGAACCACTTTTGGCAATTATCACCTTATGTTTACTACAAATCCCCAAAGGAAAGCAGCTTTGGGTCTCGGGCTTCGGCTGAGCCCCCTTCTCAGACCAGGCTAATTGTACACTCTGCTCCTCCCCGAGGGTCTGTTTTCCTTCATGTCCAGACTGATGGAGATTCTGAGTCAGGGAGGCCAGCCAAGACTCCCTCATCTTCACCCTGCCATTGGGTTAGGGTTCCAGGCTCTCACGGAGGAAGAAGTGGACTGTCAAGGGTGATGAGTCAGAGGACATGATTTACAAATGGTTGACTTACACTGTGGTGTGCAGAAGCAGTTGAGATTCTAAAAGAAATTTCATTGCAGAAAGAATGTCTTCCGCTTGGCCCCTCTTATTTCTGTTTGCATGTAATTATTTTGTTTGTTTCTCTTTGGCAGCGTAGAACTGATTGTGATCCTCTGGTGCATCTCGGGGTGTTAACCTTCCTCACTTCTCCCCGCAGACACTCCCTCCCAAGCTGTATTAGGAATATTTCAGGTGTCAACTGAATATCCCCACGAGGCACCCTCTTCTTGAAGTGCTTGGTTGGCCTACAGGCGGCAGGCTGGACGCAGCTTCATAGTCCTTCTGTGGGTAAATCTTCCTGTTCTCTGCCAATGCTACTTATCTGAAGGAATTTCATGCCAGTCGGCTTCCCTGACAGTTCCTGGCCTGGGGGCTGCCAAGGAGGGGAAGCCACCAAGGTGCCATTGAGGATTGCTGACTAGCTCTCTCTGGGCAAGAGAGCCAGGGGACACACAGTGGGACCGGAACCTTCCAGAATGTCTCCTCAGTCAGGTTTTGAGGGTGAAGGGGTTGCGGAGACAGGAGAAAAAAAGTGCTGAGGACCGAAGCTGGTGCAGGTGACAGTGCGTCTGGGTAAGGCAAATGAGAGGCAGTGAGGTGACTCAGAATGGCGTCGAGGCGGTCAGATCAGGCCGGGGCTGTCTCACACGAGGGTCCCGGGCTTGGCTTTTTCCTGCCCATACCACTGGACGTCAGCTAGTTCTGGGTAGGGGGAGGAATCCAGGAAGCAGCTGTCGTTGCAGCCCCTGTGGGGTCCAAGAAGGGATATGAGATGGTTAGAGAGGAGTGGCACTTGGGCCTGCATCAGGGTATGTGTCCACTGATGGAGGCCCTCAACTGATTGTCAGTCTTCCCTGTTTAGAAGAAGTGAGGCCTGATGCACTCAACAGAGCTGAGTATATAGAAAACACTTAGACCAAAAGGGTCCACGTAACCTCCTGACACTTGACATCTGTGAAAGAGGAAAATGCAAGCTAATTAATACTTAACATGGTAGTTTCCAAGCCTGGCTGCACCCTGGAATCATCAGGGTGATCACCAGGGACCCAAAAGTACTCCTGCCTGACCCCACCTGGAGCTGCTAGAATTGGTCTGGTTGTGAGTGGGTGATGGGGACTTTCGAGGCTCCCCCAGGTGATTCTCAGGTGCAGCCAAGGCCCAGAGCCCCTTGGGCCATTGGGCCATATTCCTTAAGATGACTCTTCCTGCATGATAGTCTCGGGGTTATCTTCCATTGGGCTTGGGGTGGGGTTGGGGGTGGGAGATTTTTATGCTGACCTGGAAGGACAATGGAAATGCCAGGTTTCTCTGTAGTGAGATTAAGGTGATACTCTAAATTGAGTTTTAAATGTCTTTTTAAAATCTGTACTGATTATTCTGAATATCATCTATTTTTTGTGATTATAAAAAAAGTGCTCACTTATAATATATAGTAGAAGCTGGGCATGTAGCTCAGCGATAGAGAGCATACTTAGCATCCCTGGGTTTGATTCCCCAGCACCAAAGATAAACAAAGTATATAGGAAAGTATATAGAAGAAATAAAAGGTTTCCAAAAAAGTACTTCAGATAGGCATTACTATTTAAGTTGGGTAGAAATGATTCTTAACTGTTAAGAAGAGATCACACAGATATGTTTGACACCCATGGTCATTTCTAGGGATCATTATTAGGGAAAAGCCTCTCTCCAGATCTCCTAAACTAGCTTTTCAATTCCTCCCCTTTGGCTCATCTTCCCATGCCCAGTTCTAGGGGTATAGTGGGGATGGGTGACAGGAAGAGACCTAACCTGATGTAGTTCAAAGAAAAGTGAATTTAAAGAGTATCTTTTTTTTTTTTTTAAGGTGGTGGTGGTGGTGCTGGGAATTGAACTCAGGCCTTGCATATGCTAGGTAAGTGCTCTATCACTGAGTTGCACCCCCAACCCCTTTTATGTTTTTAGATAGGGTCTTGGCCAGTTGCCAAGGCTGGCTTCAAACTTGAGATCCTCCTGTCTCAGCCTGCCAAGTAGCTTGGATTATAGGCATGTTGTTAAGGATATTTTAATAACAAATTGCCTCATGAACCAGTTTACACTGAGAATAATCAGTCATTCTCATTTTTCTGTTTCATTTCCCAACTTCTCTAGGAACAAATGGAAGAAAGCATTCTATGCATTGTAAATTTTTCTCATTTGGTCTTTAAAAAAAGAAAAATCCATGAAAGCTAGAAAAATCCCAAGCCATCTGTGAGCATATTGGTGTACTTTCACGTGTCCTGTGCTTTGGAGCTCTGGAAATACACCAGGTTAATTCTGTTTAACTGTGGGCCCTGCAGGAGACGTGCTGCTCCTTGGGGGACAATCCACCACCCCCACTCCTACCAGGGGTGGGCATGTGACAGGTCTGCCAGTTACAGCCCTCCAACTAATTACTGGTTCATAGATGGCCAAGCAGGGATGAGCAGCTTTGAAACTATGAGGATGTCAACTTCCTCCTACGAATGAAAGTAACAGGAGCAGGAAGCAGAGTTACGGAGGGAAAAAGAGCTTGTGAGCCCTGGCTCCACCCTACCTTCATCTTCCCAGTACATCAGCCAGTATACACTCTTATTTACTTGTTACATTGGTTTCTTTTTCAAATGAACTAATTAATACTGGCACTTACATAGTTTCTTAAACTCTTGACAGAAATTTGTTTCTGATTAAAAATGTGATCCTAATCTCTTGAGGACAAAATTTTCCTTAGTGGCTTCATAAGATAAAAGGAATCACCTCAGCCAGTTTTTTTCAAAGTAGACTTGTGACATGCTCTGAGGAAATAAAAGGTTCCCTGGACAAATAAGTTTGTGGACTCAGCCTTTCAGAGAACTGCAATGTATGTGGACACATATTAAAAGCTCTGAGAAGTTCTGCATTACTTTGTTTCACCCAGAATTTCCCAAACAGTATTGCCTATTAACAAAAGTATAAAATGTGTTTGAATCTCTTGTATGTTGGATCCTACATAGTTTCTGGTTGAAACTGTTACAGTTAAATTTTTTTGAGTAATAATTGTATCACAATACAAAGGACCTTTATCACAATTTAATCTGCTTCAGAGGAACTAAACGTCCTTTTTATATTGATCGTAAGACTCAAGGAAAGACCACTGAGTTCAAAGCAGTAGTGTTTGGATAAGGCAGCAGGTTGTTAAGGGCTCCTTCAGGGGTTTATTTTGTCTGTGAAGACACAGTCTAACTCCTGGATGGACCATATTACTCTCCTGTGGCTCACCAGGAAGGCTCCTACATCATAGCGTCCCATTCCACATGGGAGGTCATCAGATGTTTTTTAAAACTGTAGGATCCTTCTGCTTAGCTAATTAGCTTATTAGAAACCCAATGCATAAAACAGACCAAGCAACATCTGAATGATGGGTGGTGGGATGGGAGAAGCTGGGTGGGAGCCCACCATTTGATTGGAGGTTTGGTCCCCACATAGCTCCCAAAGTGCCACAATATGCAAATGACTGGCCTGTCCTATGCCTGCTCTTGAGAAGGGTGGAACTTAATAATATCCCAGAAAAAGTTGACTGTGACTGGTCTGAAATGAACATTTTCTTTTCAGATTAAAATTTATTTACTAAAAGAATAAAAGAGAGAACAAGATAAAATAAAGCTGGAAGAAAAATATACCATCCATCCCTTAGATATTTTACATAGATTATTTCTTAGTGACTCCCCCATCATTACTGAATTATCTAGTAAGTGGTTTTAAAAGCTACAAATATTGCTTAATATCTTGGTATCTTTTGCTCATGTAACTGAAAAGAGACTTGGTCCTGGGAGCTCAGACAAGCCATTCTTCTCATTCACTACAGATTCAGTGAAATCAAGAAATACCACATGCCAAGAAAGCACAACACAAAACAGACTGTTAGGAAGCAGCTATTCTTCACAGGTAATACAACAGGGAGTCACTGAATAGGTCTCCCTGGCAAATTTAAGTGAGTCATTCATGATCCTAGGGGATCTTTCTAATGTTACCCAGGAGAGTGGCCTAGACCTGCATACCCTTGGCCACCAAGGGTCCTGGGAGTGGTAACTCTTGAGTCTGCTAATGCCCACCACTGCCCTCTGCCCAAGGGGGCTTTCCACTACAAAAATGCCCCTTCCCAGTGGTTAAACTCAAGAGACACACAGGGGTGCATGGCCCACCAGGGGCTGGCTAAGTCAAGGCTTCCAAGACAAGGAAGTTGGTGAATTCATGAGCCTCCATCACCCACATCTCAGTGGAGTTTGTGACTATAACTGCTTGACATAGGAAGATGGGGGGTGGGGTACTGTACAAAATCTTGGGGGGAGGAATTTCATTCAGCAAAATGACTTTTATAAATTTTATAAATAGATTTTGTAAAAGTACATTTCAACAATGGCTTATCTTCATCTCTTACTAAGTGTTGAGCAATGCTTTATCTCCATATCTTTCTAATAAATGAGAATATGGTTAACTTACAAAACCAACTGGCAGTACACACTTGGGCTGCTGAACAGTGCTGCAGGTGTCTCAAAGCCAGGGTGAAGAGGCCTTCTAGAGCATCCCTGTCTTACTTGGCCTGGGCATGTGCTGAGGCTCAGAATTTTCTTTTCTTTCTTTCTTTTTTTTTTTTTTTTAATTATCATTTCAAGCTGACACATCACATTTCCACAGCAGCTTCCAGTCCTATTTAATTCTCAAGTTCTCTTGCCATTCCCACCTCCATCACTGTAGCAGATGGTCTTGTCCCTCTAGTATTGAAGGAATGTTGCTTTTATGACATCACTGGCTCTTTCAGTCTCTTCTCTGGCACCAGAGGAAAAGGTGCCCACCTTCCTCTGAGGAGCAAAGCGCCTGCTTTCCTAATCCTCATCTGTCCACTGTAAAAACTGTTCCAAATTTCTCTCTTGACTTTGTTCATGATCTTGTCCTAACCTACTTTTCAGGCAGAAGTTCTTGTTCTCTGCAGCAAAATGAGACTCTCTGTTGTTGCCCAAGTAGCCCCTCTTGTTTCTGCCCCTGAGTTTGTGTCCTTGGAATGGCCTCCCTCTGCTTCCAGCCAACTAAGCCCCCCCTACCTGTTGCAATCTGGGCTCACAGAGCATCTCCATTCGCTCAAAATTGATCCCTCTCCTCTCTGAATCCTTTTAGCATTTTAACTTTTAGAACACTTACTATGTGAGTGTGGCAGTTTCTTACCCTTTACCTCCTAACAGATTTTCAAATTGTGATTTTAACTTGAATTTCTGGAACTGTAGGTTCCTGGAATATGGTCCACATTCATTTTTTTTTTAATTTAATAAACTTAATATTTTTGTTCACTTTTGCATGGTGTTCTTATATTTTTAGTTATCACTTGAAATGATATTTAATTTCAAAGATGTGCAATTAATTAGACTTTAAGGTCCCCAGGTCTAGGGATAGGTTCAGGTGTCACTGTCTACCTGATGTCCATAGTAGCAGCGCTTTGCAAATTTCAACAGGCATTTGATTTGGTACTCCTGTGGTGCCCAGGGACCTTTCTAATGAGCTTCCACATAGTGATAAGGATGATGCTAATTTCTGGATTACATTTTGAAAAGCAGGACTCTACAGCATCTGATACAGCACTCAGCTGTCACTCGAGAATGCTGGAATGCAATTATGGGTGATGTTTTCAGGTGCTTCTGGATCAGCTCACTCTGCCCTTGATGGTTTGAAACTTAAATTGCAGTGACATTGTTCTCCTACACGCTGACTACTAAGGAAGTACAAACCTCTGCAGATCTTTGTATGTACTTAGAGCCTGGGAAGGTCTAAAACATACTGTGGGGATCTTTTCTGGGAAGTAGCATTGGGAATGCCCAACATCTGACATAAAAACAAACATATAAACAAATAGTTTCACATGTAACTAGAAATAAGACATAAAAACAATGGCTTCCACACCACTCAGATGTTTCCTTCTGGAAAATCTGACATGTGTGAAGACAGCACAGAGGTAGTACATCTGGGATCATGAACTCACGGGCAGTAAGAACAAAACGTCCCCTTACGATACCTCTATTCATCAGTACTTTGGTGAGGTGGAGACTCAGACCCATCCATAATGGGCGAGTTTTCTGTTGCTTCTCTGAACAAAGGAAAGCAGAAGGAGGAAGAGAAGAGAGGTCATGTTAAAGGGAGGAATCGACACGCACATGATTAGTAGCTTATTAATACCTTGGAAAGACCCGCTGATTGTACACCCCAGTGTTAGTAAGGAGTCATGCAGAACTTTCAGTCCCCATAATTTTAGTTGTGTTAGGAAAGCAGGCATTGGTACATTTTACCCATGGTCTCATTTTCACATCATTAGTGATATGTTATTGTCCATTATTGATATTATTCATTAATGATAATTTGGCTCAATCTGGCAAAGTGGTTTATTTCAGGACCAAAATATCTTTTTGTTTCCAATTTCCTTGAGTCCTCACTAGCTATATATGGTGAATCAGGCACATTTCAAGACCAACTTACGTGAGTAGGCATGTGAGAGTGCTTGTGAATTTCAGAGCCTGTTGTCAAAATAATATATTTGGAAGAGGTGAGACTGGGCATGATCCAGAAACTTTGGAGGATCCAGAGAGGCATACTGAGATCTGAAAGCTCCCTATCTGAATGAGGTGGTTTAGCCACTGGAGGCATGTATACAGTGTGTCATTCTTTCCCGAATTAATCTTGGGGACATGCTTGCACTCTCAGACCTGCAGTCGCTGTCTAGATACAGGCTAGAGCTGGGCTGAGTGTGTCATGGAAGTGAATGTTAGTGATCAGTAATTAAGATGGGGTAGCTACTGCCAAAAGGCTGATAAGTAGGAATGGTCACAAGAACACTGTAGTTGGGATTATGGAGTCTCTTAATTCCAAAGGAATGAGAGGCAGCATGAGATAGCAGTGGGTGTCAAACTTGAGTGTGCTTCACAACCACCTGGAGTGCTTGTTAAAAAACACAGTCTCTAGAGCCCACCCTAGAGTTTCCAGTTCAGCAAGCTCCCCTTGAGCCCAAGAATGTGCATTTCTGACAAATCAGGGGAGGCTTACGCTGCTGGTCTAGAGGGTCCACATTTTCAGACAATTTTTCATTTTCCACCACTGGCATTGTGGAGAAAAGACAGGATTTGGGGGTCACAGCTGCAGCTGTGTGACTTTGGGCCAAGTACTTCTTTTCTCTGAGCCTAGTCTGTAAAATCAATAGATCCAGATCTTCTCCTTGCCAGGGTGCAGCACATGTACGTTAGAAGAAGCTCCCAGCCTTTGAGTACACAGCAAGCACTCAATAAGTGTTAGCTCCGCCTCTCCACATCAAAACCAAGGCTCCAGGAAGCCTGGCATAAAGTCACTACAGATAAACTGGCAGCAACAAAAATGCCAACCACGGGGGTCTGAGACTTGGCCACCAGAGCCAATGCCAAGACTGGTTTTCTTGTGATTCAGCTCACAGATGGCGGTCAAACTTTCCACACATCCTCACCAATGCTCCAGCAAGCCAGAAACTGTGGATTAAGCTGGACATGGGACCCCCTTGCTCCTCTAACCAAGAAATATTAAGAGACAATGGCTTAGGAGACAGGGGAGGCAGCAGGTGAAGCATAAAGCAGGTTACCTGTACCTGTGGGACCTCTGGTAGATAATGACAGCTTTACTGGCTTCAGATTGTAGCACTCTAGGCCTATGTTTAAAGCTACAAAAGGAGCTGAATTCTGGTTGCATATATTTTGCCATGGGCAGCTTCTATTTAAAGGTTTCAAGGTGCCCGATCCCCTTTGTTGACCAGTGCTTGGCCTGGACAGATGCCTGTTTTTTAAGATGTATCCTGTTATTAAGATAATGAATACACTGAGAAGCATGTGAAACACCTGGCCTGTGTATACCACAGGGCCTTCTCTAACTCTTCTTTTCTCTCTCTCTCTCTCTCTCTCTTGTGGCACTGGAGATTGAAGCCAGGTGTACTCACTGAGCTACATCCCCAACCCTTTTTATTTTTCCTTTTGAGACAGTGTCTTGCTAAATTCCCATCTGATCTCAATCTTGTGATCCTCCTATCTCAGTCTCCTGAGTTGGTGGGAATACAGATGTACCACTGCACCTGGTTCCCCTCTGACATTTTTGCCTGGCATTTTGAGTCAGCCTGGGTATCAACTAAACCCAAATCAAATCTTGTCTGGAATCCTGACCAAAGAAATACATTCCTACTTGCTTCCACCTCCCCTGTCCTGGGGATCACTACCTACTTTAAAAGAGACCACACTGACTTCACTCCTAAAAGAGGGCCATGAGGCAGGGCAGGAGGTGACAGCAAGTCATGGGGCTTCTTTGGCAAGGAAGCAGTTTTCCGATGACATAGCTTTATGTCACTAAGACCTTACACAGATGACAAGTCAGGAACCTGGAAGAAGAGCCAGGTTAAAGGACTGGAGGGAGAACTCACCCAGTCTGCCAGGTTAGGATGTGGTGGGGACTGCTTGGGGGGGTGGCTCCGATTTCACTTGACGGTGTTGAGCTTCTCTGGCTTTGAGGTAAGGCAGCTGTATGTGGGTGACATGGGAAAGATGGAGAAGACGGGTCAGACCTGATAAGGGTGCTTAGGACTCATTGGACTATGCAACCTCAATGGTTAGGGGTCACAATTAGCAGGGATGCAGGACATGACCCCACGGTAGGGTCTCAGTGACCCGATGGCAGTCACAGTGGGGAAACATCTCTGTTGCCCCCACTCCTGTATCCCCCTGTTGCATTTTCTCCCCTAAACCATGCATTTCCATTCAGACTCCTAGGTCTCAACCTGATGTTCCACAGTCTTTTGAGGGAGAACTGGGCAGGGCTAGTGCAGAAAGAACTTTCTCTGGAAAGCAGAGAGATAGAGATGATGCTCCCCTCTATGACAGAGCCTCCAGAAAGTTCTCTGAGCCTGCTCTCTCTGCTGTTTCAGGCTCACCATTTGCTATTTTAGTACCCTTCAAAACAGGCAGAACTTTTACTCATCCAAATCTGACTACTGAGAGTTTGTTGATGTGGACAACACAAGTCTAGTTGGGGGAATTCAGCAGGAGTAAATCCTACTTAGATGTATCCTTTGCTTTCCTGGGAATGGAATCCTTTTCTTCAGTCAACCTTAGATACAGCTTGTTATGGTTTAGATATGAGGCGTCCCCTGCCCCCCTCCCCTGCCACCCCAAGGCTCATGTGTGAAACAATGCAAGAAAGCTTAGAGATGAAATTATTGGGTTATGACAGTCTTAATCTAATCAGCACATTAATCCCCTTATAGGCAGGTAGGTTGAGGGTGGAGGAGGTGGGTCACTGGGGGTGTTCTTGGGATATATATTGTGTAAGCTGAGCTTAGACCATCTCTCTGCTTCCTGGTGCCATATCCTGAGCTGCTTTCCTCAACCACACCATTCTGCCATGATGCTCTGCCATGATTTGGGCCCAGAGTAACGGAATTGGCCATCTATGGACCAAGACTTCTGAAACTGTGAGCCCCAAAATAAACTTTTATTCTTCTAAAATTGTCCCAGTCAAATCTTTTGGTCTGTTTTGAAAAAGCTAAAACACAGCTTCCTAAAAGTTTTGAGCCTAAAATATGTTCCAAAAGATCTCCCTAATCTCTTTAAGTAAAGCAGATCTACTAGATGAGCACTGCATTTTTTGATAGAAAACATAAGCATGCCTACCCACTGATATTTACAAACTGCCAGAACTAAGGGTCACGCACAATCATGCCCTAAATTGTACATGTAATGTGTCCATTGTCAAAACTTGCCTGGGAAATCAATGGTAAATTTCACTGGGTCAATTTTACAGACCAAGGAACATGAAGAAAGTTGTAGGATGTTGGAATCCATGGCACGCTTGTGATTACTGCAATCATTTTTATTCTGGTCTCTGAAGTTTCTCATATGACCAATGTACCCTAATAACTGAGCCACTGGGGGATGTGGAGGCAGAATGCAGAAGCCTGGCATACCAGTTCTTCCACTTTGCCCTGGTCTCTTCCAGACTCCAAGAATCTCCTTCAGTCCCCCAAGATGATCCTCCCCACTATTATTCCTACTTAAGCAAGTCAGTCCTTGACTTGGAGCTCCTCCTGTTTGTGCTCCCATTTTACTCTTGCAGTTTTATCACTTCTATCTCAAAATCCTCTTCCACTTTCTTTGCCTACAAGTCAGGGGGATGTAGAACCTCTTGTCACTCTGTTTATGAGTGGTGCAAGTATGCAAATGAGTATATGACCAATGAGGCACATGGTCACTGATGGACCAGTAGTGGTTATTATCACCATTATTATTTCTTTAATTTTTTTTTTAGTCATAGATGAACACAATATCTATTTTTATGTGGTGCTGAGGATCGAACCTAGTGCTTCACATGTGCTAGGCAAGTGCTCTACCACTGAGTCACAACACCAGCCCTTACCATTATTATTTCTTAGAGTAACTTCTAAAACTTATTAATGGAAAGAATGGTTTCTTCCATTTTTACTCTATTCAGTACTGCTCAATGCTCTGAGTACAAAAATATAAAGCAAACGTTAGTTTATGGAAGTTTTCAGTAGTACTATAAAGGGGACTGAGAGCACTTTATAAAAATTACTTTGTGGCTGTATCATAACATTGAAATGGGAAATCCAGGAGCAGTCAAGAGGTATTCATTTAGATATCCATGTCAAATACAGAGCACAGAGCACTTCTTTCCTCAGCCAGTTTATCCCCACCTGGGAGGCACTACCAGAAACCTCTAGGCTGCAAGATCCAAGTCCATCCCCCACCCAACTTTCCTTTGCAGGGGTATAAAGAGGCGCCTTGGCCGGATAAATTCTGAGAAACCACTTCACATAACTTTCTCAGATGTCTGTCCTTACAAGAAAGTGGCTGGAGGAATGATTTGCCCCTCAGTCCACTATGGAAGGTCAGATTTCCTTTATTCCGCAAGACCAGGGTTAGAATGGGAGAGTCCCGCAGATGCAGGTCTCCTACATCTGACAGCAAGGTGACCAGAATTAATGATTCCTTCCCCACTGTGAGGTCTAAGGGGACCTCCTGGTAGATGGCACCCAGATCACCCGGCCGTCCCTCTCACCTGACGTGGCCTTGCACATCTGGGGCATCCTGGTGACCCTGCTGTGCGCCACAAAGGTGCTCTGGGAGGAGGTGCTATACTGCGAGCCGCTGTCGGAGGAGGTGGAGCTGGTGTGCGACAGGCGGCTGTGCTCCTTGTGCGAGGCCGTGGAGCGCTGGTACCACTGGCGCAGCTCATCCGACACGGCGGCCCGGCCCGCGCCCTTGTCGTGGGAGCCCTCGCGGCCCAGCGACGGAGTCCTCAAGATCTGCGAGCGCGACGGCGTCAGGCGGCCCGCATCGCCCTCATCTCCGCCACCACGCCAGCTCTCCTTGAACAGGCCTCCGGCCGTGTAGGAGTTGGAGGTCTTAAATTGCGCCTTGACGCTGTAGTGGCCCTCCTGGTCGCTCTCCAGGCTGCGCACCACCACGGGCGTGGCGCTGCCCTCGATGTACAGTGGGTACTCCTTGATGCGGTACTGCGAGCTGGGCTGGCTCTGGCTGTGCAGGTACACGCCGCCGCCCGCGCCCGCGCCCCCCGGCCCCGCAGCGCCGCCGCGCGCGGCCAGGTTGGGCATGCTGCCCGAGCTCGCCGAGCCCAGCGCGCCCGCAGCCCGCTGCCGCTGCCGCTGCCGCTGCCGCGCCTTGGACGGCGAGTCCTCGGCCAGCGTGGAGTAATTGGCGTTCATCTGCGCCGGGTAGTAGTGCTCCGAGCTCGAGTGGCTGGTGCACGATGAACAGTCGTCCATGGGGTCTGAGCCATTGCTGCTACGAGTCCGCGGGGTGTAGAAGTCGGGGCTCCCCGTGTCGTTCTCCGAGCCCAGGAGCTTGCCCTGGGACTCCAAGCTGGAGCTCCGGTGCCTAAAGTGCAGTGCGAGGCTGTGCAGTCGCGTGGGGCTGATGTCCACCGACCTGCGGGGAGACGCGGGCTTGGTCTGGGGTCTCTAGGGGAAAGGGTGCCAGGGAGGCCGCTGGACGCCTCCACTCATTGCACTTTGGAGGCACAAAGCACACGCAGGCTCAGAGGGCCCAGTAAAGGAAGTCTAGGAAATTGGGATTCTAGGCGGGGTTGCCCTAGCAATCCACGTGCTTCCCCAGTTCGCACCTGAATAGGGAACTGCTGATACCTGGAGGTGGGGCCAGGAGTCTCAGCTTTGATTCCCAGTTGGGGGTGGGACTGTGCTAGGACTCACACAAGGACTTCCTCCTACGTTCTGAGCTTTAAAGTATTTTTTTTAAAGGTAGGAAAGGATTCTGTAGATACAGGCAATACCGAAGAATCACTAATTTAAGTATTATGTTAAACCCTTTTATAACCCTCTTGTAAGTTAAAAAAAAAAAAGTTCAACAGAAGCCCTTTCATGTGGTTTAACCAAATGTTACCATTAAACTCACATAAATGGATATTCATTTCCTGTGAAGATGCTAAAGTGGAGGATCCATGGAACACCAAAACACTTAAAAATGTATGATGTGAATTATACTATTACTTTGTCTATGATTCATTCTGCTTATTTGAGTTCACACTATAATTATCCATCAGTATCACTGGGCAAATGATGGGATTTACAGGTGAAATTTCACCTTGGCCATGTACCGGCAGAAGTGAGCTCTTGTTCTGTCACTAAGGTAGAACTGGAAGCCTCCACCAAATGGCTTTCCACAACCTGGTTTTGCTTCTTTTTAGAAAATGAATGTGCGATTCGTGAAAGCCTAATTTTTGCCTGTTTCTTTTGCTCTTCACAAGTTTACATTTTGAGGCCTTAAAGGAAGTACCAAATAAATTTAGGGCTTGGCAAAAAGATACATGAGGACTATCAAATGAAGACCTTCCCATCAGTACACAGTTGTTCTGGTCCCTGCTCTTCCTAGGCCACCCTGGCATCCTGTCCTTCCTCTGCTTCCACTGGTAAAGCTCAGTCCTCCTTGACTGTCTCTGGGAGCCCGGGGACTCTCCAGTAGTCTCCACGTGTTACTGCGTGTGGACAGTGGTCTCTAACTTCAGTTACACTAAGGTAAGCTCACTGCTGCCAGCTGTGTATTCTGCTTCATTTAGAGAGAACCTGCCTAACAGTTTCAGGCCTTATTCTACCTCACCTGGCATTTGGGCTAATCGGGCCAGGGATGCTTCATTGAAGGAAGGGCTGGTCCAGGAAGGTGAGTGGATTGAAAGCCCAGTGGACTCACCTTGTGGAATGGACGTAGTGGGGGCTTCGGACGCGCAGGTCTGGTGTGGATGGCATGCTAGACTGGGAGTTCCAGTGCGGGAGGCCGCGGATAGGACTGTTCTGTAAGGAGCTGCTTCCTCCTCCTGCTTCAGCACAGCTTCCTGTGCTGGGGAAGCGCTTGTGGCTGCTGAAAGACAAAGGAAGCCATGCTGGTCCTTCCCGACTGCCGAACCTTCCCCAGCAGTCTGACTAGCTTGGACAGGGATCTCGGTGTGGGGAGAGCTTGCCAGGACTCCCGCCCTTGCTCCCACAGGCCTCTACTGTGGTCTCCAGCCTTTCCTCCAGCAGTGGGTGGGGGGCCTTGTCCCTTCGCCCCACACCTGCAGGCAATGTGACATGAACACTCTCCTTCGCCTTCTCGTAATAGTGTGACAATTCTGTGAAGCCCCTCTCCTTATGGTTTTTGTTTTCCAAGAGACAAATACCTGTCGGGGCACCCACTTGGAGCTTTATAGGGTGTAATTAAGGGAAATGAGAAAAACAGAGAAGTGGACCAAAAATGCCTTCCAAAAAAAAAAAAAACCCCTCTTTACAGTATTAGCCAAGAAATGAGCTGATAATGTACAGCTCAGATTACAGCTGTTGGCTCCAGAATTCTGTTGGAAGATGGTTTAGGGTTCTGAACCACTTTGGAATTCCTATGAGTGGACTCTCATTTGCCTTTTTTTTTTTTTGAAGAGTGCTGCCTAAGATTTCCTAATTAATTCCTGTGGAATTTAACAACATTAGAGCCATCTGCCAACACATTGAGCTTAAGCCAAACCCTTTGGATAACATCTGCACCTCAGGAAGGTCAGCAGCAGAGGGCGCTGTGAGAACAGCACTGCTGAAAGGCAAACCCTGTAAGGAGGAACTAGATTGAGTTTTGGGATTTGTGGGTGCTATTTGGAATAGCTCTTGGATTCTGTCCAGATGTGTACAGTGACTTCATTTTGGGCTTCACTACCCGACTCACCCGGAATGACCATGAGAGGAGCGTTTCTTGACCTTCTCATAAGGCTCATCCAAAGAGGACTCACTCCACATTTTGGGCTTTATGGGTGACTTGTCATAGTCGTTGCGGTGATAGTGCATCTGCCTGAGTCCCTCCAGGGACTGGGGAGGAGGAGGCCTGTTGTGCGATGGTGGCCGAGGAGGAAGTCCCTTGTGAGGAGACTGTAAGGGGGATATTGTGCTGGTGACCTGAGAGTCTTCTGCACAGAGAAAAGACAGAGGAACTGAGCATGGATCATCCTTTCCACAAACTCTGAACCATTGTTGCCACCCCAGTGCCACCGACATCAGCACCTGGGAGGCGCACAGGCAAATAACACCTTTGCTTCCCCCAGGCTGGCCTCATCACTCTCCTCCAGTTGCCAAGACAATGAGGCCAAGTCAAGCCAAGCCAGAGTCAACCAAGCCTAAACTTCAAACAAAATTAAATGGGAAGAGAGGTGTCATTTTTATTAGAAACGAATAAAGTCTGAATTTTATTCAAGACCATTAACAGATGTTTGCTTTATACCAAACAGCAAAATGCAGTTAACATTTATTATATTGCAACTTTTTTCTTTCTTTCTTTTCTTTCTTTCTTTTTTTTTTTTTTTTTTTTGGTATTAGGGATCAAACCCGGGGCCTACACATTTGCTAGGCATGTGCTGTACTACTGAGCTAAATCCTGGGACCTGTTACTTTTCTTTCATGAGACATTAAATGTCTGATAGGCTTTGAAGCAATTTAAGCTCCATGAAAATTTTGTTGGCTCTGTTCACTGCTAAGTTCTTAGGGCCATGAATGACAGCTGACACACAGTAAGTGCTCAATAAGCAGTTGTTGGAGATTAAAAATGAATGTAAATATATCTATCAAGTGTAATTATATACTCGTGGATCTGGGTATCTACTCTCTGCTTCCCCCCACCTCAATTACCTACATTCTCTTTTAATTTGTTCTGAGGATACTGGGGGGTTAAACCCATGGATGTGCTACCATTGAACTACATCCCTAGTGTTTTCTGATTTTTTCTTTGAGACAGGATCTTGCTAAGTTGCCCAGGCTGGCCTCGAACGTATGATCTTCCTGCCTCAGCCTCTCAAGTAGCTGGAATCACAGGTGTGCACCCCTGTACCTGGTATGTTCTGATTACTTTTAATGTTGGAACTGCTTTGAATTTTCTTGGAAGGGGAGGGGATAAATTTTTACCAGCCTTCAGGGACTTTTGGAGAATGCAGATATGGTTGGGGAGGAACTGCCGGCAGTGGAAAGGCGGTGGACGGGCAGAGGAGGAAGGAAAGAACTTGAGCTAAGGCGTGGGTGCAAGCACAGTGGGTGCGAGCAGCAGGGGCCACCCAGGGGCAGCAGCAACTGGTGAGAAGAGCAATAGGAGAGCAAGGGAGGCAATCTGGGAGGTACAGCAGGCCCACTGTGTGAATGTACCCACTGTGGACACACCACAATGAGCAACGAGCCCAGCTGTAGGGGTCTTGAGTTTCAAAGATGCTGGGATTTGGTCTGCAAGCCACCAGAAACCTTTGCGACATCTTGAGCACAGATGTATCAGGGTGAAGATCATACTTTAGAACTGTTCACCTGGCAGGTTTGGCCTCAGGAAGGGCAGGAAGAGGGCCTGGGAAGGACCAGTGAAGAGGTCTGGTGATGAGAACCTGGGGCAGGGTGGCATTGAGAGGTGACAGGAGGGAGCTGCTCGGTGATTGCTGGGAAGGGAGGGGAACTGGAGGGGGAACCCCAGCAACCTTTTGTTCACCCCTTACATCCACTTTGAACTATTCATCTTTTTATAGCTTAATTCTCAACCTCTCAACCTTGAAGCCTGGATTTCTGTGATGCTTCCATTCCTTCTATGTCCCTCCATTCAGGGCAGGAAGAGTCCCAAGAAAGGAAGAGCCTGCAATGGGAGCAGGGAGGCAGTGACACCCCTCAGGAAGTCCAAAGTTCTGAGACATGGGGAAGAAACTATGATCATAGATGATACCTCCGGATAGCAATATTGTCTATTGCTCTGGCAATATTACAAATTATTACAGTATTACAAAGGGTTTTCACTAACTCACTCTTGCTCCCTCCCCAGGAGAGTCTGGGATATCAGGGGTCAACAACAGGACTGGGGTCTCTGATATTCAAAACAAGCCTTTCTGTTCCCTGAGAGCCCTGTGTCCTCCACACCCACATAATGAAGCAGACAATAAAAATATTACAATCTGATTTCTAATAGCAGGGCCAAGACAACTGGGTAAATAACTCACCAGACTCTCCCCACATCAAGAACAATCATTATTATTATTGCAATTATCATTATTACTACCACTTGGGTAGGCCTTTTATGTTTTCCATCTGAATAGCCACTTATCACCGCCCGCCTGAGGTTTTCCTAAAGGGCAAGAGAATTAACTGCCACTTAATATATTTCCATATAATTAATGCCCTTGCCTCCCAACATTTTGCTCTGACATCCACAAGAACATTCTCAGATATGGTCCTGTGTTTGGATTTCTTATTTCCACTGGGGATGGTGGTGGTGGTGGTGGTAGGTTTGGGGATGCAGCTCTGTTTTTCTAAGAATTGTCTAATAAAATGTCCTGGTAACCATCAGGTTTGAAGAGTTCCATGGGAAATAATGAGGCAACCTGCAAGGTTGGCCAGGGGTCTGAAGGAGAATCTGGCCTCTGATTTTTACTACGGTCTCAGGAAGAGACAGAGGTTTGGTTTATTCCTTTCTATTAGGCCCAGATTTTCCCAGTGGGGTCACCCTTTGATTTGTGCTCCAACTCAATCTCCTCCTCATATTATGAACATTCAAAAAGAAACTATGCACAGGTTGTAGATTCTGTTTAGTTAAAAACGTGATTTTGTCTGCTACAAAAGTGAAGTAACCATTCGCTGAATATCGCCTCAAATCTCAGGTCTGGGCCCCCGGAAATACTAAAATTCCAATAAATGTGTTTATGTAGCACCTTTGAGTCCCGACCAAATAGTGACTATCGAATGAGACAACTTGCAGGGAATCTGGCTGCCACCTCCACCTGGCAAGAGCCTCTGTACCAGGCTGTGCCCACATGCATACACATTAATCCCAGCTTAATCTGTGCTCCACCTTTAAGGCAGGAAACAGAAAACCTACCATCTTCAAGAACAAGGGCATCAGAGAGGGAGCTATCTTCACTGGCAATGTTTCCATCTGCAAGACAAAAATAACAAAATTCTATGATGTTAGCACATTCCCGAAACAAAGCCCTATCTGTAAGAGCAGAGTGCTTGCCACCCCCATATCCTCTTTCTAATCTGAAAGGACATGTACAATGTAATAAAAATGCTGTTGGGCATTTCTTTTGATAGTTCCCATGGTGGGTCAATAGCTTATCCTCCCCACCCCTGACAATGCAACGTACTTCTATCTTTGTGTATTTTTGCTCTTGTTCCCGGGATACTGTGGTGCAGAGCAGCTTAATATCTAATACAAAGGCTGCCCAGCCTGGTTAAGCCACATCATTGTCCCAGCACAAATGCAGGGCATGTACCGACTAAACCAAAGGAAGTCAACGGCTATTTATTCCACAAATGTGAAACTAGGGTAGGAAACTTAGCTTTGCTCGCATGGCAATAAATGGCTTCTCAATAAACTCCTGAAGTCATTAGCAGAGAAAACAAGCATGCTAAATACAGACTCCAGCTCTCTAGACACCATTCAATTAAGAACACGCCCAAGAGGGAGACAGTAAAATAATCCTCCCTCTTTCACCACTGGGGAAACTGAGGTGCACCCAGGAAGGAGGGGTTTGTCTGAAGTTTGTCTGATCTCCTGGCAAAGTGAGCAAACCTCTCCCAGCTCTTCAGATTTCAAGTTTAGTGTTTTATCTCTTGAAATAAAAAAAAAAAAAAACAAGCTAAGGAGCTAAGCAGAACCGTATTTATTCCTGATTTAAGTGGGCCTTTGTAATGAGGGCCTAATTTCAACCCATAGAAAGTAGATTCTTGAGCAGTTAAAAAAAGAAAAGAAAAAAAAGTCATGGAATATAGCTTAGTGGTAGAGCCATTTCCTAGCATGCGCCAGGGCTTCGGTTCAGTCCTCAGCACTAGGGAAACTGTCTTGCTAGGAGCAAGAAATTATCTTTTTGCTAGGTGCCCGTGGCATGTACCTATACATCCAGCAACTTGGGAGACTGAGACAGGAGGATCACAAATTCTAGGCCAACCTGGAAAACTCAGTGAGACACGTTCTCAAAATAAAAAATAGAAAGGACCAGGGTTATAGCCCCCCATTGTGGAATGTGCCTGAGTTTAATCCTCAGTACTGTGTGTGGGGGGGGGACAAAAACAAACCCAAAGCTGAGGTGTGGACAGAAGGATACAGGAGTTGGCACAGATAATGATTTAAAAAGCAATTCTGTCAGCAGACCCAACAGAATAGCCCTCATTCAGGCACACCTAAGAGTAGGCTTTCCTGTGGCCACCCAGCAAGATGGTCATTCCTGAGCTGCCCTACCCAGTTGGGGCTCTGGATGCTTCTGTTGAGCTGGAACACCCCAAGTGCCTTAAGCGAGGCAGAAGCAAGTCTCAAAGGAAGCCTGAGACAGAGAAGGGCTGGCTAACTGCAGCCCTGTTGGGAGTGGGAAGTTAACATGGTCCTGGCCAAGGAAGCAGGGTAAGGTAGGGAAGAATGGGCATTTCTAAATTCCTAGGGCAGAAAGAGTTCTTATAGCCAGTTCCTCCCTCCTCTCCCTCTAGGAAGTCATGTTTTCATATTCTTTGACAGATGTGGACACCTAGGAGACAGAGGGCCTTGATTCTGGCCTTCTATTATCTCAAGTACATCACTGCTTCCCTAGTAAGCCCACAGTTTTAGGTTGTAGATACATATATATAATTGTGGTAAATGTAAGTTGCATTGGATTCACCATTTTAATTGTTCAATAAGTGGTACTGGGTGCATTCACACTGTTGTGTGACATCACTGCCAGTCATTTTCTGATTGGGTAACATTTTAATTCTCCAAACTGAAACCCAGTACCCATTAAGCAGTAACTCCTCCTTCCCCTCAGCTCCTGGAAGCCTCTATTCTTCTTTCTAGAACAGAAGCACTGCATTATTATTATTATTATTATTATTATTATTATTATTATTATTAATTTATTTTTTGGTACTGGGGATTGAACTCAGAGGCACTTAACCACCGAGCCACGTGCCCCCAACCCATTTTCATATTTTACTTAGAGACAGGGCCTCACTAAGTTTCATATTCATCTGTCAAAGAATATGAAAACATGACTTCCTAGAGGGAGAGGAGGGAGGAGTTGGCTATAAGAACTCTTTCTGCCCTAGGAATTTAGAAATGCCCATCCTTCTCTACCTTACCCTGCTTCCTTGGCCAAGACCATGTTAACTTCCCACTCCCAACAGGGCTGCAGTTAGCCAGCCCTTCTCTGTCTCAGGCTTCCTTTGAGACTTCCTTATGCCCCCTTGAAGGCACTCACAGTGTTCCAGCTCAACTAAGTTGCTGAGGCTGGCTTTGAGTTCACCATCCTCCTGCCTCAGCCTCCCCAGCCACTGGGATTACAGGTATGAGCCACTGTGCTTGGAAAGCAGAAGTATTTTATACATACACTAAGAAAGAATATTTCACATACATTTTTTAAGAATTTTCTCATAAAAAAAAAAAAAGAACCGTTACAGCTAGGGGGACTTGATGTTTGCTGATGGGTTTTTCTGGGTATTTCATTCTAGAATTTACCAAACATTGCCATCTAAACTCCCAATCCTGATTGGAGTTCAAGGCAATCTGAGGGGACAGTCCAGTCCTCCCAAGTCATAGCTCTTTTGATAGCAACAGAATCAGCTTGATGGGGGCAAAGAATTGGCAGGGGGAGGTGGCCTGCAGGGCCTGGTTGAATACAGGAGACCCTGCTGCTGGGTACCGCCCATCCACCTTGCCTTCCACACTTGGGGAAGATGGTCAGGTCCCTGAGAATGGCAGAGCCTGAGCTAGCTCTAGGCTAGGTGGGACTAGCACAGTCAACTGGACTCAGCTCCTGCTGAAGGCTGCAGTTTTGCCTTATGGCTGCAGGCTCCCTCAGGGAGCCATCAATAGTTGGGAATGAGGCTGTTTGTACAATGCTATTCATCTGTGGAGCTAGATGTACTTGTTCACTGTGACTTGCTGTCACATCATTTCACAGGTGGACAATAAGGCACAGGATGGCTAAGCAGCCACTTAGGCCATGCAGGGAGCTGAGCCTAGGACCATGAACAGATCTGCTGTCTGGTTCAGAGAGGCCTAGTGCAGGAGTGGGGCAGGGGCGGCCTGGATGGCACTGACCGTCTATGACCAGTGAAGCCCTCTGCGTGGGTTTTTTCCCAGACTTGATGCGGTTCTCATTGATTGCATTTTCAATCTCCTGTAGCTTCTTCAGTGCATTCAGATAAGAGGTTTTTCTTTGTTTCTTCAGTTTTTTGCTGACATTGGGGTCACTGGCAAGGCGGCGGGCAGCCTCCGTAATCTGGGACTGAATTGCAAACTCTCGTTCCAGTCGTTCCAACTCGGCTTCCTGTGGGAGGGAAAGCCGTGGTTGACACTTGTTGGAGATTCTGAGCAGAGAGCCACCCATCCTCCCCACCCCTTGCCCAGGACCCCCCCCCCGCCCCCCTAAGGCTTGCTTGGCTTTGTTTCACTACCTCCAATAAGGTTCATGAACAGCAAGCCTTCGTGCCTATCTGGCTATCATTTCCTTCCTATTGGGGGCATAGGATGCAGCGTTATTTCTAGAATCTTCTATCATTCTTCTCAGGTTTGTTTACATCTGTGCATCTCTTCCACTCACCCACATGTGCCTCTGTCTCACATATTTGTGCCTCATCCCAGTTGGGACACACCCACTCACCTATGTATTTGCAAATCCCTCTCAGACCTATCTATTCATGGAAGCCCTGCTCAGGCTATGACATGACCTTCCATGAGGCACAGACAGTGAGTGATGGCGGAGTGAGTTTCCCCCAGCTCCTTGGATGAGTTTCAGGGTCTCCTGCTTCCTTCCTTCTTGGTTGGCTCCCTCCCACCTCTATCTCTTTGGCTAGGAGGAGTTTTCCCCCAGAGTTCCAGTCCTGGGAGAAATGGAGTCCTGCATGTCAGATATGGCTGGAGGACCCAGACATGCTGTTCCCTGGATGGAGTGTTTGCTGCTGGCCTCTCTGGGCAAGTCATCTCCTCTGCTGATGTACGTACACCAGCTGCTGAGGGAACAGGGAGGAGGCTGCTCATACGTGTATGTGTGAGCATTTGGGGGTGATGCACAGTCCCCCCAAAGTGTCAGTTTGTCTGTTTTTCTATTTCTCCTCTTTCCCAGTGAAGCCCCTTCAGCCGAAGCTCTAAGCAGCATGGTTTAGCTCAGATCTGGAACGTGGGCTGCACCCAGGCCTGCAAGAGAGGTGGGGTAGACTCTCTGACCCCATAGCTCATAAACCCATGATCAAGGCCTCAGTGGCTCCTCCCAATACCCGCAAGTGGCCAGGAGAGACCACGAATCTTGCCATAGGCAATCTGCAGTCACACTAACATCTAACAAGAACTGATCTAACCCAGTAGGAGGAGATGGCCATGTTTGCCGGAATCAACAGGTTTTTCTATTTTGGCCCAATAAAACACTCTTGCTTCTGGGCACAATGTGGCAGGCTGGAGGCCTCACCAAGGACAACATTCCTCCCTGATTTCATTTACTTTTGAGCACTGAAGCCTCAAGGGAGCAGGAACCAGGAGTAAGAGGAAAAGGTGAAGGCCAAATGGAACTATTAAGGGGATAATAAACTCCTTCCAAATCCTTCCAATGCTGGCTGGGAGGATATAGACATGGATTCCTGCCCAGGGCCTTGAAATGGGGACAGAGACCATTCTGTGACACTGGGCTCCACCAAGCAGCTGTTCCCAGGTGGTTACAATAGTCCTGGCTCAAGACACTGGCCCTGAGTTTTGTGGGAGTCCAGGACAAATCTCAATACTAAGGCAAGTACAAGGCCGGACGCCCACTCTGTGCAAATGGTTATATGAACAGGAAAGCAGAACACATTTCCAGGAGAAACTAAAGCAGTGAGAGCCAAGAGAGGTCTCTTCCTTCCCAGGGTAACTTTCCAGAGTTTTCCTTTCATGTGCTTAGGAAAGACAGTGGGCAGGGACAGGTAAGGGAGATGTGAGGCACATGGAGTCCTCAGGGCACAGAAGTCAGCTTCCACCGACAAGCAGGAAAAGCCACAGTGGGACCACAGGATGCCCAGGGGGGTATGGACCATTCACTAAAAATGGGGGTGCTTTTAAAGTTTAAGTGCCAGGTATCTGCTCTGCACCAAGGGGAGGTGGAGTTCTTGAGGCAAGTCTAATGACCACTAGGATTTAAAATACAGCTGATCAGATGGCCTCCTAAGTGACACCTTTCCTCCGGCATTTCATCTCCATTTTGAGCAACTGATTTTGAATAAGCATCAGGCAGACATTGAGTACTCAGTGCCATGTTTTTCATATATGATCTGATTTAATCCTAGTAATAACCCAAGGATATTGGCATCATGAATGATATTTCACAGAAGAGGGAAGAGGCCTGGGTGAGCTTTCATTCTGGATGAAGCACTCAGGTGTGTGCACCAGGTCTCCCAGGGATCTGAAACTGCATGTCTCAGGAGTGTCTCCAACATTGGCGCCAGGACACTTGGTCCCCCTCAGGGTTATATTCAGAATAAACTTGGGAAGACACTTCCTGAACATGACCCTGAGCCTTGAAGGTAAAACCTGGCTTTTCACTTCTCTTGGACTGAACCTAGATACTTATTAGCCAGCTGGAGACTCAATACTTTTTAATTTTGTTTTTGTTTTCTCCCTAACTCTGAATTCTCCACCCCTGCCTCGATCAGTGTTCAGCTCCAAGAGGATAAAAACCTGTACTGAAATGAGGCTTTTCCAAACACAGGCAAGTGAGGCCAGGGCAGAGCAAGCGACTTGTTCAGGTTTTTGTGGGGATTTTAGCAACCAAGCGAATTAGGGCCACATGAAGCATGCCCCTTGCAATAGTAGACACTGCCTGTTTCCCTTCCTCTTTGGTGTTTTCAGATGAGGCCTGGCTCTGAGCAACAAAAGGCTGGGAGAACACTGAAAAGACAAGTATACATGAATGTGATTGGAATGTTCTCCCCAAACTTATTTAAGCCACTTTCAAAGGTCTAGAGTGTTCCACAAACAACTTTAACAGAAATCTGAAGTTTAAAGGCAAGCAAATTCATCCTACCTCAGGAAGCCACATAGCCACTAACCAGCTCACTCAAGTCAAGGTAAAAGGGAAGATGCTGGCCTTGGATAGCGATGAATTAAACAGTTACTGAGAACCTGGGAGCCCCTGGCTACTGGGAAAAATAAGACCAACACCAGCAAGGAAGAACGCACCTCTCCTTTGGGCAGGACTTTCTGTTCATCCAACTTGAAGGCTGTGCCAATCCTTCTTCGAACAATGGGTGGTTCCTCCCCTGGATCCAGGGGATATTCAACTGGCAGCTTGCCAGTGAGCTCCTGCATATGTGAAATGGCATGTGGAGTGATTAGCAGCCAAAGTGGAGCACAGGCTTGTTTCCTTTCCAGGACACGCACACACACGTGCGCACACGCACACACACACGCAAATACATGCACACACTGCAACGCAGAGATCACAAACATGAGCATTAAGCACTATGCCAAACAAGAGCTCATGAAATGAAATTCCATCTCTTTGAATGTCTTTGTGAGTCCTCCTTCCTTTACAGAATAGATGCACTTGGTGAAGTTTTTTCCCTCCAAATCAATTTCTGTCAAGTAAACGAAAGTTCTATTGACTTTTGAAATGTTCTAATTTCATTCATTTGCTGATCTCATGAGCATCTTCTACGATGCCCTTCTACTCTAAGCCCTGTGCTCCTTCCACTGTGTCAGATATTTCCTTTTAGATCTAAGTCTAAAATGAGTTTTTTCAAATGAGTTTTTCTTTTTTAAAGAGGAACGGTATCTATATGGAAAATTCCAGAAAAGTGCATTATTACATAATTATTCTCCAAGGCTAACCTTGGAGAATAATTATTCCACTTAGGCCAGATACTCAAGAAACAGGCTAAGACACTAACCTGTATTCCATTAAGAGTTTTAGTAGAAACTGAAAATCTAATCTGTTTATTAGGCTACTAACTAAATCTGTTGTGTGTGTATTTTGGGCTCTGGAAATCTAACTATTGTGAGTACAATGACAGTGAATTTAGTTACCAGTCCCTCAGAGTGACAGGGATCCTGGGTCAAGGCTGGGGGTCTGAGGCACAGTTCAGGATTAGAATTAGGCTCTGTTAGTGTGCTACACCTGGGCTGAATAGAGATCAGTTGGAGTCAGCAATGGACCCACGCAGTGGAGGCCAGGCAGAAGCTTTAAGAAGTCATTTCCAGAGATTGGATAAGGCTGAGGGAACTACTGTGTTCCTTCTATGGCAAAATGGGCACATCCAGGCAAAGCCCAGCTCTAGCTTTGCAGCCCCAAATCAATGCAGATGCTGCACAAAGGCTCAGGGTGCTGCTCGGATAAAGAGGAGCCCAGAAGTGACTTCTCAGAACCCCTATCACCCACACAAACAGCTTTTTGTGCTGGGGAGCCCAGGCCTGATGGTCCAATGGCGGGAAAACCCAAATCCACCCCTCGGACTCTTTCTTCCTCATTGTAAGCATTTTGGAGCACAATGGCCAACTATTTGAGTATGACCACTGTGCAACGTTCTCCCCTGTTCTTTTCTTTCTTTTTACAAAATGTGGTTCAAATATCTCCCAAGTAGTTATGTGTTTATTCAGCAACTTTTTTCATCTGTTCCCCTCAAAGTCTGCCTATAAATAATACAACCTTCTGCGGGATTTATATTGTTAGGACTTTCTTCTTAGTACCTTAAATTTACAAAAGGGAGGGGGGAGGTTGTTAACATTGCCATGGATTTATAACTCTAAAGTGTTTGTGGTTTTAAAATATATTTTTAAAATGAGGCTACTGATTTCTCACCATCTGCTTGAAGGTACAGGACTCAAGGTCTCGATTCTCCAGATATTTAATCTCATTTCGTCCGTAACCAGAGCCCCATGGCAGAGCAGTAATTTAAGGCACTGCTGTGGGGTCTCGGCTTGGTTCCTTTCTTTACATTCTGCCAAAAGCTCCCAGCCTACTTCATTCTGGCTGCCCTGCTCCTGAGGTCAAACAGTTCCTCCCTAGGCTTGAGCTGAGGGGAGTCCTGTGTGAGTCCAGGAACCCAGCAGGAAACCCCCAGCCCTTGTTACAGAAGCATCAAGGGACTAGTGTGGTGGCTGAAGGAACATATACTGACTTCTTGTTGGGCTCTTTCTTCTGCTTGAGTTCTGTTTAAAAAAAATAATAAAATAAAAAGCGGAAGCTTTGTTTTCCTTATTTTTTAGGAGAAACAGTGAGACCTTAATAGCTCAAGAACCTCGCCCTGACACTTTCTTACATTTTTGAATGTGGACTCCCTGCTGGGCCGAGGGACTTTTCCTTTTTTAAAAAGTTTTGTTTTTTTAAAAACAAAACAAGACTTTACAAATTATTGAAGGCAGACACCAAAGCCCATATTTTTCAATCCTTCAAGCATATTCTTTATAAAAATGTTGCTAATATTAACAGTATCACATAGCACATTCCCCCAACAAGGCCAAGTGCTTTCCTAAGATTTGCAATGGATTTGTGCTAATGTGGTTCTGCTTTGAGCAGGCTCCGGTTTAAATCAATCCAGACCATAATTAAGCCAAGTTGAAGTGTAATGTGATCTCACTCTGTGGCCCTTGTTTCATTCTTCCTGCTGCAAAGCATTATTATTTGGGGGAGGGGAACACTAAGTCTCTCAGACTTCCTTTGGGAGTCTCTTTATACTTCCTGTTTTGAACTGTTTACCAATAGAGCTCTTTGTCAAGTTATGTGGAGCACAAGCAGCCCCCACACTGTGTCCACGCGTACAAGCCTTTGCACACACACACGTGCCCAGCAATGTGTATTATCCTAAAAAATGAGCTCTCAAACCCTGCTGGCAGAAAGTCATGACTATCTTTACCATCTCTTAAGGTAGAGATGGACACTTCAACAAACACAGAAGTGGCCTGCAGGAGACTATAGGCTTCTGAAAATTGAGACTAGCATAGATACAAGCTTGAGGGGACGTTGCTTTACATAGGATTTCAACATATCACTAGGCTAAAATTTGATTTTTTTTTTTTAAAATAAAAGAGTTAAAGAAACAGGCGATCATGGGGTTTCAAGAGGACTACTGAACATCTGAAGGGACAACCTGGTTTCCCTGTCGACCCCCAATGATGCTTCATGATGTCCAAAGACAAACTGCAATATCCTCAAGGGAAGCATAAGATAATAAATCCAAGCACAACCTTTTGAGTTGCAAGTCATTCTATTCAATAAGGTAATGTCACATAAGGAAGCGCTTTATAAACTGAGGTGTACCGTGCATGGATAAGCAACTATCAGCATGACTTTCCACCTGGCTCCTGGTGGGGTCAGTCAACACCAACCTGACCTGCTGATGGTGTCCCCTCCAATGCTCCAGCTGTTTCTGGCAAAGCTCATCATGGGGGTGTGTATATTTTTAACCTTTGCAAGAACCCTCCTTGGGAGGCGCTCGGCATCGTCCCCACCCTTGCCTTCTGTCCATACTTAGGAGCAATAATGTCCCAGACAACACAGATTTAACTCTTACAGCTTCCCGGAGACACAGCCTCTTCAGTTCCTCCAGCCTCTGGCGCAGGGTTTCCTCCAGAGCCTCCTGCCTGGATTTCAAGGCAGCCAGCATGTCCTTCTTGGCTGACTGAGAGCTATCTGATTCCTGAGAACCTGTTAATAAACAGCAGGGTTACTAGGGCAGCCGACAGGGGGACACACATCTGGACCACTAATGAATTTAACTGGAGTCCACACCGTGGATATGGGTTTTACCCCAGGAATCAGGGGAGTCGGGAAATAAAACAGGTGCTTGGAGTTCCACGTCTCAGGAGTAGATACCAGCAGTGCATGGAATATATAACTCGTCAGAGGCCTGCCAGGAAAGTCAACTCCATGAAATAGAAGTCTGTCTTTCTCAATTATCTGAAGATAGCTCACACACCTGTTTTAATCTTACTAGCAAATTTTAATACACTTTGCACAATGAAGGGGGAAAGTAAAGTTCAAGTCATTAAATTTATGTTTAATAATTTCTTTTGTTCACTTAAAAACTCTGATTTTAATTTGTTGTTATTTAATTACTTTTGGCTTAGTGTGATGATCATTCCTATTTATCACAAAAATTTTGAAAATGTGGACAGGTATAAAAAATAGCCAGTAAACTAATCAGCCAGAGATTAAACACTGCTATGCATTTTCTTTTGACCTTTTTTTAAAGCACATATATCTAAAAAATAAAACTAAATTTTATCTTTATTTTTTAACTTAATACTGTGTCACAAGCAAATTCCTTCCTAATAGAAGTTATACATATTTTTACAAGCTTTCCTAGATGGAGTAGCTGCGTGATGATTCAAAGAACAGGCTGCTAGATACAAAACCTTTATAGAAGGCAAACTATGAACCAAACAAAAGGAAAATAAGTTAAAATGCCAACCAGAGAATTTAGTTAGACCAAAAGAATAATTTCTGGGCTGCGATGTTTGGGTCCTGAAATAGGTTTCCTGCAGTGAAGCTATTAGACCTTTTCTACTTTGCAAAAGAATAAACTGATGAATATTTTTCCTCTTCTGCCCATGGTGAGCAGAACTATTAGAAATGGGCTCGTGTCACTGGGTATGGATTTAAAGCTTCAGATCATGCTATTGACAATAGCATCAAACCACCTCAAACCTAATTAAAGATGAGAGAGACCTCTCAAGTGAAAATTATAATATACTACTGGGAAAAAATGGAGACCTAAATAAATATATATATATTGTGGTCATGGATTGGAAGGTTGATGTTTTAAAGATGTCAATTCGTCATGAACTAAAAAATATAATTAATGCAATCCCAGTAGGATTTGAAGTGGGGGAGTAGAATTATATGTCCATACGAAACAATAGAATTTTTGGATAGTTCAGTGACCAGATGACAGATTTGAGATGATCCAATCAGAATTTCCAGAATTAACGACCGATTTGGTTTGGTTTCTTCCAATGTTAAAACAAGGAGGTACAGAATCCTGAGGCTAGGAAGGACTTCTATGCTTTTGCATTAAATAGCACTGCTAATCAAACCATACCCCAAAATATACTAACTCTCTTATTTAAAGTCCCTGTGTAGGAAACTCATCCATATTCCCCCAGTTAAACACGCTTCTAGACTCTTGCATCCCTAAGAATGGAGAACACTCAATGTCTAAGTACATTTTGACTCTGACCTGCTATTGTCCTTTTCCTTCCCCAGCCCTTTTGAGCTTGAAATTGAGAAGATCTATCACTATAGCAACATCCCACCTGTAGTGCTCTACAGAAGCAAATAAATATGTTTGAATGAACAAGCAAATAAACATTGTCTATCACATACTTGGGTGCTGTACTTAAATTGTGACCCATCTTAGTTAAAAAAAGAAAAGAAAGAGTGCCAGTAAGTTGACCCTTAAGTGAAGCTGCTTTCCAAGCTTTGAATTACGTTTGTAACCCACTCCTGGATTTTGACATGCTTCAGTTGCACGTTTCCACATTCAATAGCAAACTCAAGCAAAAGCTGATCCTCACTGAGTGAGGCTCTGTTACCTCATGGTTCCCATCCACTAAATCCACATGGTGTCACGCTCATGTAACCCATCACTGGATACTATTGCAGTCTCCCTGTTTGAAATGGCTCTGTTTTTCTACCTTCATAAGTCAACTGGCCTGTGCTTATCAGCACGAAACTCTCTCCAGTCTATGTCCACCTAAAGCAACAGGCCTGAATCATTATAAATCTTAATCTGGTTCTCTTGGTAATAGTCACCCAATCCCATCTGAAGACACAGGAAGATTTAATGAGGTACTCTCTGTTCTATCATCTAAAAAAAATATTAAGAATGTAAAATAATACTGGAAGGAAGTCAGATTTCAAATTTAAAAAACAGGCCTTGGGGAAACTTGGGTCCAAGAAGATTAAAGGATTTCTAGCTCAAGTGAAAAATTCATTGTTTTCCCTTTCACCCCTGCCTCACCTCTCAATAGGAAATGATGATTTATTAAGTCAAATCTAAGAATTAACTGTGTTCAAGAATGGCAAAAATCATAACAACATTAAATTCTGGGAAGGAAAGCACACAAATTTGGGACGATTGGGTTTCTAGTTATGGGATTAGTTATAAATTGGCCTTGAGTTACAGGGCTCATTAATGCTACCTAGATTGTTATTATTTATAATGATCAACCTCAATACCAAACCCACAGAAGATGGGCAAGAGAGCCTTGGCAGGCTAAGTGGTCCCAGAGTCCTGCTCCGTACGTAGCTGGCAAACTAACGCTGGCTGGCTCTGTTGTACACCTTTAGCCTGGAAATTCCTTCAGGGGGGATACAGAGCCTGAGTACTAAGTGAAATCCCTGTGAAGCAACTGAGCCAGCCTTCTCTGGTTGTGCAAGTTTTGATTTGGGTGGTTACTGGATAGCTGAATAGAGGGTAAAACAGATCTGGGCTTGATGAAGTTTATTCACTAGACGTGTGACCCTTCAGCAAGTTACCTGGCCTCCTGAATTTGCAGTGAAGACCAAATAAGATAATAGCTATGTAGCTCTTAGCACTCTGCTTGGGATAGGGAAACCCTCCATCTAGTGTACATTTAGCACACACCTCACACACACACCCTTAGTAGAATGGGAGAAATCATTGAAACTATTTTTCCCTGTTGCTCAAGGAGGGACTGGTCAAAGAAAAGGACTTCACTGCAGTTCAGTGGAAGACTTGGGCTCCAGAGCTCAGCTGTAGAAAGATGTAATCTAGGCGTAAGCAGTATTTTTAAACTACGTTTCTGGAACCCCTGGGTTTGCAGATATGCCTCTGGGGCTGTGGCAGATAAAGGTGGGGATGGAGTCAAGGAGATTTAGGGGTTCTTGGGGTCTCTACACTTAAGAAGCTAGAGCAGCTCCACATTAATGTGTCTCAGGAGTGGGCTGTCAGAACGCATTTGCAAAGATATCTCATTACCTTTTGTCTTAAAAGGAAATCCACTGTTCTCACCATTGCTCTATGTCAGAGTCTGTGTAATCTGAGCCTGTGGGTGGTGGCCTGCCATTAGGCACACATGGCCACCATGAGGAGAAGTGGCCAATTGCCCAGGAAGAATTCCACAGAAAGAGTTCAAAGGGCATCCCGAGAAGTCCACACTGCTCTGTAACGCTGTCCAGTTCCCGCCTCCTCCACAGAGGCCTCCTAGGCCTCCCTGATTGAGACTGTTGGTCGAACAGGAAGAAAAGAAGCCAGCAAATTAGGCAGGACCTAGAGGGCAGAATCCCTCTGTGGCTGGCCACCTTAGTCCCCTCGACTGACAGAGAGCTCTAGGAAGAAACTGAGTCAGAGAGAAGCCTCAGGGCTCAGTCAATGGCAGTCTCACAAGGGAAAAGTTCAAAAGCACACAGCAAATGGTTCTGGACTCGGGAAAGGAAGGAAGCTCTGCGTCCCTGTGCTCCATCCACTGCCAGTTACTAGAACACGCGCATGTGCCCTCCCCAAGGTGCTATATTAACTCCTAGAACTGACACAAGGATATAAATCTGATCTCTTTGAGAGGGGCAGTGACCTGTAGAACAGACAGCTGGATTTTCACCTTGTATCTGCTACGAAACATTGTCAAGTCTTGTGGTTACTGACCTCTCGGGGCCATGATGTTAATTTCCAAGATTCACCCAAACATGAAGAATCTACTACTTAAAAACTTACTCAGGAGTCCCCTCCTGACATTAGCCATTTTACTTTGCCCCACAAACTTCTAGGAAAGACAAACATTCTGCCAACTCTGTTCTCATTTCAGTTACTGCTACAGCCTCCAGGGGCATGTGTAATTATCAACCAGTGCCTAAAGGATTTACTTCCTCTTATCAACAGGCCAAAGTAAATATTTGTAAACTTGAATGCTAAACAGAGTTTAATCTGAGTTGTCTTTAAGATTAATGCAGGGCTGGGGATGTAGTAAGTGGTAGAGTGCTTAGCTACTTGGCTACCAGAAGTCAAGAGGGGCTTGGAAAGGTCTGACCAAGTGGGTACAGAAAAGCCCAAAGAAAAGCAGGAGACAGGAATGTTTTTGAAAAACACACCTAATGCATGAACACTTAGCATCAAGCAACACTCAAATTCATAGGAAAGAGTCCGAATATTCTTTGGAAAACCCGAACTGGCATTGCACCCCCCGAAGGCAGAAGTCTGCAGTCTGTGGCTCAGGGTCAACAGTTCTGAGTGTGTGCTCAGGTGCTGTGGCTCACTAGCTCCAGGGTTTGAGCAGGTTGCATGACCTCTCTAAGTCCCAATTTCCTTCCAGGTAAGATGGAGAAGAAAACAGGACTTAAAAAAAAAAAAGTTGGGAGAATTAAAAAAATAATTCTTGGAAGATGCTAAAAGTCAGTTCAGAACATAGGGCTGGGGTGTGGCTCAGTGGTGGAGCGCTCACCTAGCACGTGCGAGGCCCTGGGTTTGATCCTCAGCACCACATAAAAATAAATATACAACATAAAGGCATTGTGTACAACTAAAAAATAAATATTAAAAAAAGAACATATTAAGTGCTACATGAATAGTAGCTGTTATTTTTATTAAAAAGTGTTCCTGGCTTTTATGAGCTTTTGGCACCCCAATTCCAGAGAGCCCCATAATGTAAAAGGGGAAAAAACACTGGGTGGACAAGCAAGAAAATGTG